CCCTGCGGACTCCTTGCCTTATGTCGGGCGTGTCCCCCTCCAGGGAGATTTTCGACGAAAAATAAAAAATACCCCAAACATAATCAACAAATAATCAAAAATTACGCTACCGAGGAACCCCACATACTCAATTTAAATCTTATGTGCTTGCTTAAGTTTATAATATATGCGCAATTCCGCGTTCTCAGCCCTCGTCGCGAATGTTCCCCTCTGTGTCATCCAACGCCGTATTGCTTGAACCTCCTCCCTCTTCCTAGCCTTCTATCCTCCATCAAGGACAGATTCGAGCCAGCCAGCGGCCGCGCTCAGGGACCACCCCCTGCGCACCCCCTATGGTGTCTAGAAAGTGCCACGCCTGCTATGCCTGGACGACTGGCACGGATAGCGGCCGCGCTCAGGGACCACCCCCTGTGCACCCCCTATGGTGTCGAGAAAGTGCCACGCCTGCTATGCCTGGACGACTGGCACGGATAGGCGGCCGCGCTCGGGGGCCACCCCCTGCGCACCCCCTATTGTGTCGAGAAAGTGCCACGCCTGCTATGCCTGGACGACTGGCACGGATAGCGGCCGCGCTCAGGGACCACCCCCTGCGCACCCCCTATGGTGTCGAGAAAGTGCCACGCCTGCTATGCCTGGACGACTGGCACGGATAGCGGCCGCGCTCAGGGACCACCCCCTGCGCACCCCCTGTGGTGTCGAGAAAGTGCCACGCCTGCTATGCCTGGACGACTGGCACGGATAGCGGCCGCGCTCAGGGACCACCCCCTGTGCACCCCCTATGGTGTCGAGAAAGTGCCACGCCTGCTATGCCTGGACGACTGGCACGGATAGGGGCCGCGCTCGGGGGCCACCCCCTGCGCACCCCCTATTGTGTCGAGAAAGTGCCACGCCTGCTATGCCTGGACGACTGGCACGGATAGCGGCCGCGCTCAGGGACCACCCCCTGCGCACCCCCTATGGTGTCTAGAAAGTGCCACGCCTGCTATGCCTGGACGACTGGCACGGATAGCGGCCGCGCTCAGGGACCACCCCCTGCGCACCCCCTGTGGTGTCGAGAAAGTGCCACGCCTGCTATGCCTGGACGACTGGCACGGATAGCGGCCGCGCTCAGGGACCACCCCCTGCGCACCCCCTATGGTGTCGAGAAAGTGCCACGCCTGCTATGACTGGACGACTGGCACGGATAGCGGCCGCGCTCAGGGACCACCCCCTGCGCACCCCCTATGGTTTCGAGAAAGTGCCCTCCTGCTATGCCTGGGCGACTGGCACGGATAGCGGCCGCGCTCGGGGACCATGCGCGCCCCCTATGGAGTCGAGAAAGTGCCACGCCTGCTATGCCTGGACACCTGGCACGGATAGCGGCCGCGCTCAGGGACCACCCCCTGCGCACCCCCTCTGGTGTCGAGAAAGTGCCACGCCTGCTATGCCTGGACGTCTGGCACGGATAGCGGCCGCGCTCAGGGACCACTCCCTGCGCACCCCCTATGGTGTCGAGAAAGTGCCAGGTCTGCTATGCCTGGCGATGGCACGGATGCGCCGCGCTCAGGGAACCACCCCTGCACCCGTTGCGCACCCCTATGGTGTCGAGGACGTGCCAACGCTGCTTATGCTGGACGACTGGTGGTCCATCGCGGCCGCGCTCAGGGACCACCCCTTGCGCACCCCCTATAGTTTCGAGAAAGTGCCACGCCTGCTATGCCTGGACGACTGGCACGGATAGCGGCCGCGCTCAGGGACCACCCCCTGCGCAACCCCTTCTGGTGTCGAGAAAGTGCCACACCTGCTATGCCTGGACGACTGGCACGGATAGCGGCCGCGCTCACGGACCACCCCCTGCGCACCCCCTGTGGTGTCGAGAAAGTGCCACGCCTGCTAGCCTTTGCACCCCTGCGCACCCCCTGTGGTGTCGAGAAAATGCCACGAGCTGTGCCGTGCTGTGCTGAGCCGTGCTGGGCTGTGCTGAGCTGTGCTGAGCCGAGCCGAGCTGTGCTGTGCTGTGCTGAGCTGTGCTGTGCTGAGGTGAGTTGAGCTGAGCAGTGCTGTGACGAGGGGGGGAAGAGTGAAGTGTGTGTGTGTCAGTGAGTGAGGGGAGGAAGAAAGAGAGAGGAAGGGAGGTGTGAGGAGACGCGGGTGCGGCGCGGCAATGCCTGGACGACTGGCACGGATAGCGGCCGCGCTCAGGGACCCCCCCCTGCGCACCCCCTATGGTGTCGAGAAAGTGCCACGCCTGCTATGCCTGGACGACTGGCACGGATAGCGGCCGCGCTCAGG